TAGTTTCTTTCAAAGTATTACTGTTATTATGTGCCAGCGAGTCCGTTCCGACTCATATCCCCCTTGGAGAACCTAGTGGGTTTGAGTCACTGACCTTTCAGTTAGCACTCAAGTAGCTGATACAAAATTCACAAATTAAAGACGAAATCTGAATATTAGTATACCCTGAGTTCCACGAAGTGCTAGTAATATAATTGTATAGCTGTAATACTCTTCTTCTTCTTGTTAAGTGTCACTGAATCAGTTCTGACTCACAGAGACCCTGTATAGGGTTTCCAGGGAGCAGCTGGTGAGTTTGAACTGCCAACCTTGTGGTTAGCAGTTCAGTGCTTATCCTACAGAGCCACACCAGGAGTCTGTAATGCACTAATGTTCTTGTTGTTGTTAAGTGCCATCGAATTGGTTCCAATTCATAGCAACCCTGTATAGGGTTTCCAGGGAGCGGCTGGTGAGTTTGAACGACTGACCTTGTGGTTCAGTGCTTATCCTACTTCTCCACACCAGGGCTCCATTGTAATGCTCTGAGAGGTCATCATTTTGGAACATTATGGAAGCTCAGATCCAGGAAATCTAAACCCCTTGTCAAGGTCACTTCTGTCTGAATCAGTTCTCTGGGCTTTTGGTGCCTAGAAAGCCCGCATATTATAGGCAAAATTTGGATTTAAGCAAACCCTAAATCTCTTGAAGTGCTAAAGGCAATATAATTATATAGCTGTAATGTTTTTCTTGTTTAGTTTTAAACCTAGCATCTGTGATTGGGGGGTGCAAGGGGGCAGGCAGTGGGCGTTTTGATGTGTGAGTTGGGGAGAGATAAGATTACTACTAAACTGAAAGTTCGTTGAAAGCACAGACTTTCAATAGTGGCTTGACAATGTCACCAGAATCTAGGATGGTCCCCAATGTGTAATAGGATGAGTGAGGGAACGAATACAAGACTGACTGAAGGAGACCAAAAAGTAGGTGCAGAAAGCTCAGTTACACATGCTGTTTCCAAGTCAGTCTTTCCCATTAGCTAGAGTGAGGGCTCTTTAAGGTGACATTGTGTAATTTACTCATTTTTTCTGAATCTCTAGCACATTCTGATGTGTGCTGGGGATATAGTCAAGGGAGGTTTTAGTTAACAAGTTAGAAAATCAGAAGAAAGTTACCCCAATGAGATACTTTTTAAAAGAACCTTGGCACAACTCACAGAATAGCATAAACAGAAGTCTCTGGACATCTGCAAACAAAATTTGGGTCAATACTTGAAGGAAGGTAAAAGTTTCTTTAAAAAAAAAAAAAATCATTACTGATGATGAGACATGAATTCATCCCTATGAGGCTGACAGCAAACAGCAGGTATGATTCTCAAGGTCACCAGTGGGACATTATCAGGGAAAAAGTTCAACAATCAACAGTGCTCATTATGGTGAGATGCTCACTGAAGAGCTGAAGTCTGAATTTTGGATTAAATGCAGAGGATCCAAGGGTGTTGTGATCTTGCATGACAATGCATGTCAAACATCTCTGCCCACACAGTTGACATTCTGAAAACACTTCATTTCGAGGTGTTAAAAGCAAGGAGATAATGTCCACAAATTATGTATTTGTCTTTTCTAAAAGTTGATTAAAATAAATTCTACGGCCAAAAAAGAGAAAGAACCTTGGCAAGGTGAGCTGGTACTTGCATGGTGTCTGCCAGAAATAGTTGCATTCAACCTAGTCTAAGTAAGTCTCTGCTATTAACTAGATATTACGGTGTTCTGCCTCATGAAGAAGACAGGTGTATGTGATTGTGGAACAATACGAATGTATTTGAGGGTGGAGTTTGGGATGAAATCAGCTAGTTTAGGGAAGGTATCTAAATGCAGTAATAGGAAGATGAAGGCAGAATGGCAGAAACCCCATTGGTCTAGCATCTCCTGAAATAAGGTTTTTTTGGATTCTCCATGCTCTTGATTAAAGAATACCACAGCTCCTTTGAGACTGAGCATACAATAACTTTATCAACTGTAATGTCATAGATTATCCTGAGCGCTTTTCTGTGTCATGTAAACAACAGGATTTTAAACTGATTTCTTCAACTGAGTTTATCTATTCCTTTAATGGATCATTTGTTTGTTCATTTATTCAATGCATTTATACAATTGTCAGGTGCCCATATCATGATGAGTTCGGTTATGGGAAGACTCAAAGACAAATACATGATTTTGATAGCAATGACTTATCAAATCTGTGTACAAAACTGTTATGCTGTCTTCCTGGCCATGAAAATACAAAGCAAACCCTGAGTGTTGCTAAGTTGTTAAGTGCCATCAAGTTGGTTCTGACTCATAGCGAACCTGTACAGGGTTTCTGAGGAGCGGCTAGTGAACTTGAACTGCCGACCTTATGGTTCAAACCAACCTTGCCATCCAGCGCATTAACCCACAGTGCCATACCAGGACTTCATAAACTCTGGGAAATCCCAGGGATACTACCAGCAGCAAGGGGTTAATAACTAGTCAATTTGTCTGTAGCACATTTTCAAGGTCAGTAAACAAAACTCAAACTAGTTGCCATGAGTAGATTCAGATGTATAATGACCACAACTGTGTCAGAGCAGAATTGTGCTCCATAGAATTTTCAATGACTGATTTTTCTGAAGTAAATTACCAAGGCTTTCTTTCAAGGTACCTCCAGGTAGCCTTCTTGTTGTTAAGTTGGTTCTGACTCATAGTGACCCTGTATAGGATTTACGAGGAGCAACTGATGAGTTTAAACCACAGACCTTGCCGTTAGCAGTCTAACACTTACCTCAGCACCATACCAGGACTCCCCATGTGAAATCGTGGTGGTGGTATGTGCCATGGAGTTGGTTCCGACTCATTGCGACCCTGCACGGCGTTTCCGAGGCTATAAATCTTTACAGGAGCAGAAAGCCTCATCTTTCTCCCTCAGAACAGCTGGTAGTTTTGACCTTCTGACCTTAAGGTTCATAGCCCGATTCGTAACCTCTACGCTCCTTCCCCAGGTGAAATAGGAGTGCAAAAAAGCTCTGTAAAATAAGATTAAGCTTTTCAATCATCTTATTTGTATGATACAGTGTAGGAAATTCATTGATGTTGTCAAAAAAGGAAATCACTACGGCAGAGCACTAGGATTGGTTTTCAGAGAGGTCACCCCAGTTAAGGGTTTGTTGTTGCTGTTATTAAGTGCCACTGAGTCAGTTCCAACTCATAGTGACCCAGCATAGGGTTTCTGAGGAGCAACTAGTGAGTTTGAACCACTGACCTTTCAGTTCAGTGCTTATCCTACACCACCACACCAGGACTCCAAGAAAGGGTGTTGTTGTTAAGTGCCGTTGAGTTGCTTCTAACCCATAGCAACCTGTACAGGGTTTCCAAGTGGCTCCTGAGCTTGAACCGCCAACCTCACAGTTCAAACCAACTTTTCAGTCTAGCACATTAACCCACAGTGCCACACCAGGAAAGGGTAGGGGTATCCTTATAACCGCCGGATCTGTGGTATCTCAACATTGATCTTTGGCAAGTTTTACTGGAAAGGGATGATCAGAGTTCCAAAGTGCAATTTTATATTTCCAATTAAAATGTAAAAATAAACCTTTTTCATAAAACACTGCACTGGGAAGCGGCTACAAAGCCCAATGATTGAGAAAAGCTGAGAGCAGGCACTGTAATTGATAAAGGAGATAAGTCAATCTGTATCCTTTAAAGAATAATGAGTTCCATTTTTCATCAAAAAGATCTCCTTGTGCTGAAGAAACATTCTTTCAATAAATCTACTTAATGGTTTCCCCTCTAATGATATATAGCCTTGTGCTTTGGAACCTATCATCCCAGCAGGTTCCTGCAAGGGACTGCAGGCCACCCATTATTTGCATTGCTAATTTACCTAAAGAAAACCTAAACGTTTCCCAGGAAGGGCTGCGCTTCCAGAAAAATATTTGAAGGCTGTCCCGGAATCTTCTAGCAGATAGATTGTGAATCCTGTAAATATTCTATCAGTAGACTTGAGATCCTATGCAAATTTACACCCCACCATTCTCTCCTCCCACTGCCACCCCTGCCCTGGGGTGTTCAGGGATGTATCAGCTTTGACGAGGACTCAGTCCAGACAGTTCCAGAGTTAAATGCTTCAGATATTTGGGTCATGAGAACTGATTAGTTTTGTTTGTTTCCTGAGCTCATTACCCTCCCACAGGCACGACAGCCTTGGTGTTGTTGGGGGCCATCAACAGCAGGCGGTAGCTTATGTTAACTGTGCTTGGTAAACTGCAGGTGTACTTTAATGATTCTGTCTGGAGTAGGGTGGTCAACAGACCCATTCCCCATCCCATGCTGAGCTAGCTGCCTAAGTATCAGGAGTTCACTAAAGGGTCTTTCCTCTTCTAAGGGAGTGATTTAGGGCCCTCTGCCCCTTGTGGTGGGAAGAAGGACTATTTTTCAACTCAGTCACCTTTGTGAAACCCAACTGTACAATGGCACTTTTCTTTCCATTAGGACCCAGTTTTATGTAACAAAACCTATTTCCTTCAAGGGCACCCAGCCCTCCCAATACAGCCGGACTTTCCCACATGGGACTCATTAAAAACAACCCCAGAGTTATTTCCTTATGTTGCTGTTTGTTTATTCTCGGTCGCGTGTGAGTCAGCCAGATCATGATTTGTGGTGGTTTTGCTTGTGAAATCTTACATAATTGTATTCCTATTGTCATGTTGGGTCAAGCAGTGAGACCATATAGTGTTTTCTCATTGCACAATGTTTGCAAATCAGTAAAGAGAAAGGTTTAACAATGAGATGACGTTTGCTGGTCAGGAACCCAGCCGGGGAGTCACCCATGAGGTGGCTCTGCAGTTTCACAGATACAGCCCGCGGTGGCACAAGGAGCCAGTATGTTCATTAATTCCATTGCTTGGCAGGATGACTAGGTAGGTGGTGGCCTTTCTGATGGGTTTCACTGAGGTGATATTGAGAAGATGAGAGAGAGAGAGAGAGAGAGAAAGAACAACAATGACAACATTTCACACATCAACCAATCAAATTTTTACTGCATTTGCTACACGCTGGATTCCAACATGCTGATCCCAAGCGTGATTGGCTATAAACTGGTGAGATTTCTTTTCAGGTCCCTCAAACAGGCTTTCTCTTCTCCACCATGTACATATTTATTTTGATCCTACTCACTGTCCTAAGTCCAAAGGCAGTACTTAAGAACACTCCTTGGGTGCAAACAGTGAGTGGCTACGACACATGGATGGGAGTGGGTACAATCTACACAACAGAACTTGAAATCCAGAGAAATCGTTTTTAGAAGCAAGACACCTCTTTAGTTGCAAATAGTATCATGGAGCTCAAAACCCACCACTGGTTGTACTTTATAATTCCTGGAGTATAGTGAAACTAGTTGCTTCTAACATATTTTGTATCTGTAGTCAAATACCTGATTGGGTTTAAACATTACTGTGTTTATATATCTTTGAGTAGTGTACCTTGAACTTATTTGTATTGATACAAGATGAAGGTTACAAATATCTGCATAAAAAGAGAAACTGCATGGTTCTATATGAAAACAACCATCACATTCCACAGCACATCATTGGTTAATGTCCAAAACTGTCAAGCATTATTGAGAAAAAGAGAGAGCGCAAATATACATGAATACAAGCCCCACGACATAACAATCGCATCAACAGAATCAAACCCAACTTCTCGATTAATCCTTTAAAAAATTTACCTCTGTTACTAGCACTTCACATTAATTGTTATTTTAAACTCCAGTAGCAGGATCGGATTTCTGCTGCCTCTGGGCAAAAGAGTTATGATCTGATATCAAGTTCCAAGGGAAATGCTCAAAGTTTTATTTTCCCTCAGTTGAATAAACAGTACCATGTATATTATCTCTTGCATTAGAATAGTGTTGTCTTCACATAAGACTCAAATAATGGTATTAGTCATTCATTTCCTTGAACACAGACACCCTCATGCGTGCTGACAGGTTTATAAGGATGCGGTGGCAGCCGTGGTGCTGGGATCTGCTAGATGCCCGACTTTGATTTCTTGCAGTCCTGAGCGATGGAGCCCAGGCGTGCCTGGTTATTGTCTGCTTTCTCTCCCAGATGCTTGGCTTGTCTGAAAGATTAATACATTAACAAGAGCTGAAGGTCCAGGGTTGCACATCTTCAGACATGTTTATTAGCAGATGGCACATAGGATTCAAAGGTCACCACAAAAGTGACATTTTAAAGTGAGACAACAATATTTATGTTCAGATAGTCCACTGATGAGATCATGTGGAAATGGTTTTGATTAAATTAATTTACAAATGGTTGCCAATCTATAGAAAACCTAAAATGCCATGTCTGTTTATCAAATGTTTTCTTCTCACCCTCTTACCTTTTAAATATAAATGACAAATACTGATAGGTTTGGGGCTGTAAAAAATTTTTTTATAGGCTTATGTAACTATGTTGTTATTAAGAGTTGTTGAGTGGGTTCCGACTGATAGCAACCCTATATAGGGTTTCCAAGAAGCAGCTAGTGTTAGCAGTCCAGTGCTTATCCTACTGCGCCACACCAGGACTCCTATGTAACTATAGTTTAGATTAGTGTAATTGGGTTTTGCTTCCTGGGTTTGTTTATTTTTTCTCTAAAAATGTTGTCTCCTATGTGTGTTCTCAAATATCATCTGTCTTGATTACTACCTTAAGAATGTATATTCCACTGTACAAATAGAATTGCTTTAAATTTCTTTAGTATAAATTGAGCCTCTGGAGAGACCCAAAATTCAGTCTCTTAGATAAGACCTATGTCCAAATTTCATAAAAATATATGTGCTGACTTTCATAAATAATTATTATAGCTATGTTTATACCTTTGCAACCTTTTTGCAGCAATATGTGTTTGTGTTTCATGTTAACAATGGAAAAGCAAAATACAGTTAAGGAGAAAGAAACCTCCTCTCAACTTTATCTTTTTCTCTTCTCTTTCTGTTGTGCCCACAACTTAACACGCATGTGACTGAAAATACTTGCCTCAGAAAATGGTTTAGCCAGAGAATACTTAGCAGTAGGAAGTGAAAAACAATCTTACAAGTTCTGCAAGTCTCTACAGTTAATAAAACTAACATAAGTGTTTCCAACAAAGGCATTAAATAAAGAAATGCATATCAATTAGTAGGCCAAAACTTTGATACATTGTGGCTGTTATTTATGGTGGAGTTGATCCTGATATTTACAGTGACAACCCCATGTGTGCAGAGCAGAACTGCTCCACTGGATTTTTAAGGCTGTGACACTCAGAAGCGGACCACCAGGTTATCTTCCAAGGTCCCTTTGGGGGGGGGGGGGTTCAAGCTGCCAGTCTTTCAGCTGGTAAGTAATAGAGCACATACCCCAGGGACTTAACCCAGGGACTCCACAGAGATATTAGAGGATATGAATTTGGTCATGCATGCTGTTTTTCATTGATTTACATTTCATTTTATTATGAATAATTTTATAAGATGTAGGTATATTTTTTCCCACCTTATCTTTCATACAATTACAAATGCAAGAATCATGAGAGCATTTATACTCACTTTTCAAGAGAACCTTTTTCAATATTCATTGCTCCTTCCATTGGATCCAATCCTTGTTCAGAAAATTGCTTCAAAGCACTTAAAGCTGCCTAAAAATGAAAAAAAAAAAAAGATCCACTCACTCACTTTACTGTAATGAGCAAGTAATTGTAAAAGAAAGCTGAGCTATATAGTAAAGCCTATCATTTTCATTAGCCTAAATAAATGCTTTTTTGCTTAGTTTTAATAAAATTACATTTGAAAATCTGTATTACTGTGAAGCAATGTACATACTTTACCAGAACTATGAGGGTTTATTTTTAGTGGGAGAGAGGGAGGGAATCATCTATAAATTTTATTCCTTCTCTGTAATTTTGCAAAATCATATATTTTATCTGCAAATATAAAAACACCAAGTATAGTCCTATAAAACATCAAGGATGACTCTGGTTAATTCCTCATCATATTACTGAAACTATACATTCTCTTCCTTCAGATGTAAGCAGTCCAACTTGAATACATTTTTTCCAAAGTTAGTACAACTGTTGAGTTTTACAGACATTTAGCCCAAGGTGCAGGATGTCAGCAAAGGAATGAACAGCAGATACTTGTGCATATTGAGTTGATTGGTATGATAGGATCATATGAGCAGAGAAAACATTCATGCTCCTCAAGGCTTAGGGGAGGCTGCCTGGCCAGGCAGAGCTTTGTGAGGTGTTGAGGTGCCCTGGGTGTGTGGGAGGCTGACGGGTGTCGACAGGTTGGTGGAGCCTCACTGGATAGCTGGGAGGCACCAAATATGCAATGCTGATAAGATCTACATAACTTGTTGACACTCTTGTGCACGGTCCAAATTGTTATTTCTTTGAATAAGAATTCAGCTAACCTTGCGCCCCTCCACCCCATTACTTTAAAACTCCATTAGAAGTGTTTTGTTGAGTCTGAGGTAGGTGTGAGCCAGTTGCATGGTTTTAATCTAGGAGAACCCCTGCTGCTTCACACATTGGTCATCTGTACCTTCTCAGTTGCCTTCGAGAAACTGCTAATTCTAGCAGTTTTCTAAACTTTTATCTACCAAGGACCCCTTTTGGGCAGCTAACTGCATGGTCTCTTGTAAATGTCTTTATTGACATATTTTCCTCCTTTCTTTCCTGGTTTTGCTTTTCATTAATCACAACTCCTTTATCTTACCACCAATAACAATTGTCCTGTTTTTCTTGAAAATAATCCTTCTGTTGGTATCTGTATTCTAGTTTCTCTACATTACTGTTGTTGTTAGGTACTGCCAAGTTGGTTCAGACTCAGAGCAACTCCATGCATAACAGAACCAAACACTGTCTGCTCCTATACCATCCTCACAGTTTTTGTCATGTTTGAGTTCATTGTTGTAGCCACTGTCTATCCATCTTTTTAAGGGTCTTCTGCTTCACTGACCCACTGATTTACCAAGTATGATGTAAAGAGTCCCTCCTGATGGCATGCTCAAAGTACGTGAGACAGTCACTTCATCCTCACTTCAAAGGAGCATTCTGGCTGTAATGCTTTCAAGATAGATTTGTTTGTTGTTCTGGTAGTCCATGGTAATTTCAATATTCTTCACTGACCACCACAATTCAGAAGCATCAATTCTTCTTTGGTCTTCTGTATTTATTGCCCAGTTTTTCACACATATGAGGCTATTTAAAACGCCATGGCTTGGGTCAGGGTTTTTTTTTTTTAACACTTTAAAGCGGTCTTTTGCAGCAGATTTGCCTAATGCAAGCCTTCATTTGATTTCTTGACAGCTGTTCCCATTGGCGTTGATTGTTGATGCAAGTAAAAGTGTTTCCCTGTGTACAGATGTGCTTCATCCAAGTGCCCATGTGTGTCTTCAGCCTTGGCTTGAGCTCCCTGGCTCAAGGTCTCAGTGCTCACTATCTTTTTGAACCTAGAGTTCTGCAGGGATGGATCTTGTTCCTGCCCCACTACTCCAGATCTTGACTATGTTCATATGCTGCTTCTGTTGTTGTTAAATGCTGTTGAGTAGGTTCCCACTCATAGCAACCCTGTGTAGGGTTCCCAAGGAACGACTGGTGGGTTTGAACTGCCAATCTTGCAGGTAACAGTCCAGTGCTGATCCTACAGTGCCACACTAGGACTCTAGCACAAAGTGAGGCTACTGCTCTTTTTCAAAGATCTTGTGAAAAGAAGGCCTCACACATACCTAGGCTGTGCTGATGGCCTTGATAACTTCACTGGGGTTGGAGAAGTGTGGCTATCTCCTTGGGCACATCGGGGTCTCTCTTCTTACTTTCTTCTGATGACCTTTTTATTTTTCCAGGTTACATATTTGTAACCTGTGTGTTTGTTTTGTTTTGTTTTGAAGTCCTTTTATTCATTCTTCTGAAGAATTTATCTATTCCACATTGTTTTCTATATGAATATCAGAATCATTTAGTCAATTTTCTAAAATATGATGCCTTTGGAAATTGTTTCAGGATATTGTTAAATTTACTGATTAATTTAGGGAACAGTTGCATGTCAATAATGCTGAGTTTTAGTATACAAGAAATGTTATTTCTTTCTCCTTTTTGTCCCTCAGTTGATTCTATTTTTTAATTCATATAAACTGCATATCTTAGGTTTATTTATTTATTTTAAAGTTTTTATTGTGAATTAAGTGATAGTTTACATGGGAGAACATGGGTATTACATTCATCCTATGGTATTTCATTTCATTGCAATGATTACAATCCCCTCCGTGCATCATCATTCAGTGGTATTTGCTTCCATTCCCTCTGTTTTGTTTGTTTGTTTGGTTGGTTCTGATGTACCCAAAAATACTCAGTAATATATAATCATTGAAACAACCAAAGGGTACATTCTGCAAGTCTGCCTCCTGGTCACCAACACACAGCCTTTCTCTTTTCATGAGTCTAGAGTTCTCAGCTGCTCTATCTCTCCATGTCATCATCTCTGGCTCCATCTATGGCATTGCTGCTGCTCTGGATAGGGTCTCACATTCCACTCATGCTCTTCTTGCTTGATGGTCCTAGGGTTCTCTGTTCCTGGAATGTAAGATTAACTACCCCCATTTATGTTACAAAACTTCTACCTTTACAGTTGTGACAATCATTAGTCATGATAACAGTTACTCACTATTGAGTCATAAGAATCGTATCCCTATCTCCTTTCACCAGACCCATCTAGACAAGATGAAAACTATTTAGTGGGGATTCTACCTTCCCCAGCACACTCTAAAACTAAACTCCCTCTTGAAAACTTGTAAGCCTGTCACTTCATGCCTTTATAGCCCCTCCCCGCCTTTTTAGGTAGCCAGTGTCTAAGTTGCCCGTCCCTATCAACCCGGTGTACAGAGAGGATAGGATTGAGCCTCAATGTGAAGACTCCTTTCCCCCTCAGTTGATATTTTGAGCCATAAGTATAGGTCAAGTTAATCAAATAGTAGCTATTTACACTTGCTTCTTTTATCAAAAAAAATTTTTTTTTTTTTTTAAATCTTCCTCTAGTCAAATTCTGATCATCAAGCCATCGAAGCTAGGTCAAATGGATATTATCTGCAAGTTTGGGAATTCTTGTGCGTCTCCCCTCACTTCATATCAGCTGGACGTTCCACACTCATCTCTAGCACTCCATGGCTATGTCCTTGTCCACTGGCTCAGGTGTCCCCAGGTCTCACTGTACTTCGAACCAACCAGCCCTTCCTCTTCTTTCTCTCATCTCCAGGTCGATGGGAGTCTATGGATCGTGAGCTAAGCTAGTCCATGTCTTCTTTGCTGCCTTTCCCTCTCTTCCATTCACCAGTAGACCAACGTGGTTGCCAGTATGTTTACATGCCTGTTCGGGTGTTCCCGAGTTTCAGTCTTGGAGGGGGGTTCCAGGTTACATATAGATGATCTTTTTATTCAGAAAATAATTTTCCATTCCAGAAAAACCAGAGTACACAGTCAAGCAAAAAGAATGTGAAAATACCAACCAGCCCACCGACTATTAAAAACATGGTGTGCATCCTTCCAAATCTTCAATTCTATCCCATCTCTTATAAATAAAGTACCCTTTAACCTGGATCATATCTTAATGCTATTTTGTAACCTACCAGTGAGCAGTTTTCTATATCAACAGAAACATTTTAGTAACACCATGTCTCATGACTGCACAATGTCCCTGTCACTTTACCTGCCCACCTATATTTAACCAATCCTTAATGTTGGGTATTTGCTTAGCTCATTTCTCATATTAAGCTGTTATTAACACTGTGCCAAACTTTCCAATAGTTAATTTTTGTATATATATATTGGTATTGGTGGTGGTAAGTGCCATCAAGTTGGTTCAAACTCACAGAGACCCTGTATAGGGTTCCCATGGAGTGGCTGGCAGGTTTGAATCACCGACCTTGTGGTTAGCAGTCTAGTGCTTATCCTACAGTGCCACACCAGGGCTCCTTGCATACATATACTCTCAGTGTTTTCCTTCTGATAAATTCCTAGAAATGAAACTTCTGGGCCAGCAGCCAGCCATATTTTTTAAACTTTTGCTCTGAACTTTCTATTTTCCTTCAAAGGCTATGCCCTCACTTGCAGTGTGAAGAGAGCCCGTTTCTCTCGAAGAGTGCCCATGCTTCTAGAACTTCCTTTCCCAACAATTTGGCAGTTCATACAAATAACAGTTTTGCCAAGGGGCCATTTGCCAAGATAGCCCCACCTGATTTTTAATTTGTCTGTTCTAATCATTTACCTTTTTCTGCTAGACTTTGCTTTGAATGAAGTTTGGCTGCTTTCAAAAATAAAATTCACCCTCAAAATATCCAGATTTGGACAATTCCAAACAAAACAAACAAGAAAGGGTGGCACTGTAGGATAAAGACTAGACTGTTAACCACAAGGTTGCTGGTTCAAACTCAACAGCTGCTCCTCAGAAACCCTATACTGGGTTGCTATGGGTTGGAACTGACTTGAAAGCACTTAACAACAACAACAATTTAGATTTAACTAGGTGACCACTGAATTCCCTTACCATCCTGAAATGCTGAGGTGGCTAGGCAGACTTTCAAGTTGACTACACTGGAAATAGTCATGTGGGTGTGTACATTCTTGTGGGCTTGTTAAATCAA